ACTCGCTGACAACTTTCCAACGTACCGAACGCCTCCTCTATGTCCGCATACAGAGACCAAACCTGAAATTACCGAACAATACAGTTGGAAATTCATCCCATACATCCTACCACTTTCGCAAGCAGCCATCGCAACAACAACGGTAATCCCAATAACGATTACCCTAACAACGGTAATCAATATCAACTGAATTTAATCCAACAATAAGGTAGAGCAACCAATAACAACCAATTGACCTTAAGTGATTTGTAGACTCGATACTGAACTGGCTCAGATTCATCGAAGTAGTGACTTCTTCTGGGTGGAGCTGCTGTCGCTCGCTGCATCAACTTTCGAGCTCTTTGCGGTTCTCTGAAAAATCTCATAAGACTCATAAATTCAATTCAATTCATTCATCAAAAAACAAATAAACCTCTCATGAACGGCAAATACATCTTATGCACTAACTGCAAACAGAAAGTTGACTCACAACAAGGCGATTGCTTTGTCATAAATGAGTTAAGGAAAGGATTTCGCACTTCACTGCACATGATTTGTTTCAAATAAAGCAAAAAACTTTTTGCAAAAACATTATAAATTTCGAAGTAACCGAATATTTTCCTGGAAATTACGCCGCAGTCATTGTATTCTAAATTTTGCAATTTTTAAGAGATGACAAATCAAAATGATATTACTGACTTATGACGAAGTTCGAATTCCGTATATTCGCACCATACAGTCGCCAGATCATCCACTTTGCAATAGGCNACTCATAAAAATACCAACGAACCTCATTCAATTGTTTGTGTTCCTCGTAGAATTTCGCGAAACCAATCCAAACATTCGATAATTTTCCAGTTTGCAGTTTCGGTTGAATTGTGCGTACGGCTTCTTCGTACGTTTCAATTTGCTTAAAAGAACCAATAAAAATTCTCATCAACCAATAAAGTCAACTTCATTATTATCACCAATGTATCTCAAAAATTACATCCTTCAAGAAATTCACATATTTGAAGGAAAATCAATTCACCACCACTATAAACATAATCAGTCAGTAACAATTATCAACCTTTTTGAAACAATAATCAAATACTTTCTCAATTAATCAGTCATATCTGTAAAGATAAGCCATTCGAACAATCAGAAGTAAAGAAATCCAAACAGACTGAATAAACTAAAGAATTTACCTTCTGTTTATTGCCTTCATACAATTGAACACGATTCAACCATTCGTGAGCATTGTGCGGATTCTGTCGCAACAAAACACTGTTCAAAAGCAATGGACGACGATCCATTAAATGTTCGAATCTGCAAAAATTCATTTGATAAAAAGTGACTGAATACGATGAACTGACCAATTCTCTACTTTTCCATATAACCATAATTCTTAATGGTTCTATGTGCATTATTGCAGTAAAATGTAACTAACACCAATTACTTTAATATTTTATTCACCACTTAATCACTTCTAAATGTAAATGAACATCGTCCAATTTACAATTGCAAAACGCATTTAACTATAAATCACTCAGTCACCATACCTTGCAAACAATAGCTCCAGCTCCAGTTCACGCTCCTTTTGATTCATCGTCTCCGACTTATTAATCTCATCCATTTTTGCCGCAGTTGAGCGCTCAGCGAAATTCGCGTATGCGTCAAAAATTTGCGTGAAGTCTCGCACTGTTTTCACCGACACAATCGCCTCTTCGTAAACATCACGAGCCTAAAAGATGATGGTGATAGCAGGGAATGACTGATTAGAGCAAATCGAAAATGATTTCTTGAATGAGACATCGAATCAGCCTTTCAAATCTATTAATCTCAAGCAAATAAAAGTTGAAAACGTTGATGTTTCTCCACTGAATTCAACGCAATTGTATTCGTTTGGAAAGTGCCAAATTCTGCGCGACAAATAATATTTCCAACTGAATTTTTTAAGCATTCTGAACTAAACCCTTAATTTAAGTCAAAAACAACAATCATTCGCATTCGCAAATATTTCAAACCTTCTCAAAATGTCCACCACGAATGTAATATTCAGCCAATGAACACCACAAAATACCCACTTGATCACTGTATCTGAAAACATTTTCGACGATTAATAAAACACTCTCAAAAATCGCCTGCTTCTGCTTAACAGCAATTTCACAACTCAGAATGAGAAAGTTGAGATTTAAAAATTTCTGCTTCCAAATAATCAATCGCTATCATCAGAATACTCCATAACAAAAGAGAACTAAATCTCTAAATACACAACAAAATCAAATCAAACGAAAAACAACAAAAATCAAAAACCTCTGTATGCCTTGTCTGATGATCGAATCCACATTTAACGAATGCACTTTATTTGGGTTTTTCGAAATCAGTTCACATAACTCAGTCCATAACTGCAAATCATTCCGCTTGTTCATTCAAACAACTTTTGTCAAAAACATCAAAAACATTAAGTAGGTTCTCTGCAGCACTGCCAACTAATTATCTAAATTCATTTCGTCTCAAATCTTGTTTTCACCACGCCAAAAAAATCTTACCTCCATAATGTAAGAAAACTTCATTTTTAAAAAATCAAATGGAATATCGAATTTTCGGATTAATCAACGCATTCATCACAACAACAACAAACCTGATGTGTTGTCTTGCCATGTTCTGAAACAAGTTTATCGTCATTAACCAAAATCGCCAACTGTTGTGCGGCATCGTCCAACCGATCGATTTCACGCAAATACTCCACAAAGTCTTCGCGATTCTTTGGTAAAAGTTTCAAATATCTAAAAAATATTTTCCGTTCATTGCCATTTCCGGTACAACAACTCCACAATAGGGCCCAGTCAATTGAGGTTAAATCTCAAATTTTCCGAGAAATCCCCAAAATATCGAATCAAATGTCAAATATCCAAAATAATACAAGCACAATAAATTCCCGTCCACCTTCTATAAACACGTATCGTTGTCTCAGGAATCGCATGACTTGTGACAAATTTGATATACAACGGCCATATTCGATCATGTTGCGTGATTGGAAGAGCACGTAAGGCTCTGTCGAAGATACGTCTAGTGGCGGTTATGTAGCGTTGCTGTGTCATCAACTCACAATAGTCCATCCAGATGCGAGGCATCTGCAATATCAATTACCATATTAACAACAACATTATCAATAATAACATCAATTCATATCGTAGAGGATGACTACTGCTTAACATGTTCCCCAATATCAATCAAAGCAAAATGAATGATAACACAATAATAATTCTGACTCAAAAAGAGCGATTAACATATAAATAAAACTTCACAATGTGCTCACTTTATGCATGAAAACCAGTGCACGCTCATAGACACTATTCAATCGCTGATAGGA